TTTAATGAAAAGAAGGAGTAGAGGAGACATGATAGCAGGGATTGCCACAAAGAAGAGGGAGTCAAACTATTTTCCAAGGCACCTGAGGGTAGAACAAGAAGCAATGGGCGGAAACTAATCAAGGGGAGAAGCAACTTAGAACTAAAGAAATTTCCTGACAGTTAGAACAATTAATCAGTGGAACAGCTTGCCTCCAGAAGTTGTGAATGCCCCAACACTGGAAGTCTATAAGAAGATGTTGGATAGCCATTTGTCTGAAACGGTATAGGATTTCCTGCCTAGGCAGGGGGTTGGACTAGAAGACCTCCAAGGTTCCTTCCAACTCTGCTATTGTATGGTATGGTATGGAATGGAATGGTATGGTATGGTATTGTATTGTATTGTATTATATGAGGAAAAAGTAGAAATTATTTTCTTCTGTGATAACTTGTGCTGATATAAGACCTGGTTGAGTTTCTTGAGTACTCACCAAACATATCTGATACTACACATAGTTTCAGTATTTGTCATAATATTCTCATTTACAACTACATCTGATCCACCTGCTGGTCTTTTTGAAAATTGAACTATGATTCATTTTACTAATATCAAATTATTTGTGAGACTTTGAAAATATATTTTGCAATGTAATAGTACTATTATTCCTCATTTTCAATTAAAATTTGCATAGTAAATTATAGTTATCTAGATAGGCAATGCACAATCGAATTCAGGTGTGTGTGTGTTTGTTTGTTTGTTGCTTAGAAAACAATTTTCTAAGTACAGATCAGAATCTCTCACAATGTTTAATAACTCATTGTTTGCTAAAACTAAGAACTCTTGAATACAAGAATTAGAAAACATCCTGAGTAGAATTCTGTGATGTGCTTTTTCCTCAAGGTTATTTCAACATGATCAAATTCTACTAGCAAAAATATTTACGAAGCAGCCACAGACCAGGATTTCTATTTAACGCAAGCTTTTCTTAAAAGGTTTTACATAATAAAACACATTTTTGGTACATTCAACGTTCATTTTAGTCAATATTATATACCTGGAAAATAACATCATCAATTACATAAAACCACTAAACATAATCAAAACATAGAACTCATCCCGAGGAATGGAAAATAGCTGTTACGTTTTATTCATTATTAAAATGTTCCCACTACAATTCTTTGTGCTGACGAAACAGTTATTAGAACTGATTTGAAGTTTGGTAAAACAAGGAAATAGAGACCAAAATTAATCCATTGGAGATGTTAATATTGATGGACCCATATAAGAATTTCTCATCTGGGATTCTAGTATAGAAATTCTAATTCAGTTTAAACAAGGAATTTGAACATAAATAACATTCTTTCATATCTAGCTGAAGGCTTTGTGGCAATAAAATGGCAGGACAATGAAAATGTAGATTCAAAATCAGAAACAGTCCTACAAAAACAAAAGTGGGCAGTTCAGACCCATATAAGAGTGATTTCTAATCCATGTCTTTTTAGAGAGTCACACAAATATTTACCGCTATTGGAATAGGTCATACAAAAGAGTAAAATGTATGATTAGAATGTTTTGAAACCATGGATTAAATATTAGAATTTCTAATGGAATAGGTCCTTCAATAGGATAGATTCTTTGTAGATGCTTTCATAATATACTTGTAAAAATCCCACATGGCTGAAAAAGGAAAAGATTATCCATCATTAAATCCATAATCAAAACCAGCCAGATATGTAGAACCTATTTAAAATAGCATACATCACATATCTTGTAACAGAACAGGTTGAATCTAGTATAATCCTAAGGATCCAGATTTTTAAAAAAGCTTCAAATATTCAGAAGATATGTAAAAACTGACAAAAAATGCTAGATTCCTGTGAGAACTCTTCTTAGCTATGCTTGCATTTCTACAGGATTTACAGTTGACTATCAAAAACAGCAGCTTGAGATGCTTGGAAAGAAAACACATTGCAAATGGTTCTGGTGTGCAATATTCCTGCTTGTTATCTTCCAGGGCGGAAGTATTCTGTTCTCAGTGCTCTTTCTAAAGGCAATACTTAATACATTGCTTGCTTGCAAGAAATATTGGCTGGGTGGTTTGCTTTCAAAGTCATCCTCTTTTAATTTGCTTTTTATGCTCAGTTTCTTTTTGTTTCATATATTTTCAGTTCTTAGATGTGGATCCAACAAGTTTTTTCAGCTTACCAAAAAGAAATGTTGAGTTTCATTAAACACTACATCTCAACTTTGTGATCCTTTCAACTCAAAAGCATTCAAATCATCAAGATTTAGAAGATAAGCATTGAGTTTATAGAGTAAATACTAGGTTTAAAAACATCAAACCTTAAAGCCTTCTCAGTATGTCAGCCTCCCAATGGTGGCACTAGAGAGCAGTTTTTGTCTTAATCATCTAGAGAAGTTATCTGGAGAAGGCTGATTTGCAATTATATAAAATATTATTTATCCTACAATGAACGGCTATGCAGTAGGTAAATATGACAACCTCCTTCCTCAATATTTGTCTGAAAAAGAATACATTTGTGCTTATGAAGCATATACCTGATTGCACTGTATTGGTGCTCTACTGTGCATTGGCAGCATAAAATAAAGCAAGCAATGTGCCTGGGCCAGGTGTGAGAAGGATTATTAAAATCCTCTATTTTAAAGTGTGAATTTCCATTCTTAAAGAGTGGAAAACCCTGGGATTTTCTCACCTTTGGGGGAATGTATGGGGAGTGAGGGCCATGTGCGTTGTATCATTCTGAAGCCGGCAGAAGATAACTCACTGGTAAGTGACCCAATCGAAGCATTCACCATACCTTTTTTATCAGGGGTGAAATTCGACTAGTTTGGACCAGTTCAGTAGGAATGATTTGCATCAGTTCCCCGAACTGATAGAAATCACCCCTGGTTGACCTCACCCACACCCACTCACCACTCATCTCTTCCAGCTTGCTCGCTGCTTCTTGCCATTCACTCTGCCCGCTGCTCAGCCCGCCCACCCACCCATCCTACTCTATATTTTACCTTTGCCATGCAGCCCAGCTACTTGCTTCACTGACACCCGCTCTGCTCAGCGTCTTGCTCAGTTGCCTTGTTGATGGCTGCTCAAAAGTAAACATGTGCCCCCCATCCCTAGGCCCGCCTGGTTGGTAAAACCAAGTCAGCTCCATTCCAGGTGGGCCTAGCTAACTAACACACTCCCCCCAGCCTCCAGCTTGCTTACCTTCGCTCTTTGGACTGAATCCCGAGCCACTGGTCGCAGACATGCCTGCCTTGTTTCACCTGCTACAATCCCACAGCTGCATCCTGCATCCTTCTCATCGGTGAGCAACTGAATCTGCCTGCCTGCCTTCAATTGGGTAAGTAAGTGAGTTATTTTTAAAAAATAGTTAATTGGTTTCTTAGGAAATTTTATTGGTTTTTTTTAGGAAATAGCCATATAAACTTTAAGAAATTTTTCTGCATTTATATTTTTAGATCACACTCACTACACAAACATGCAAAATCTCACAAAGGTGTATGTGACATTTATGTGTAAAGTGTGATAGTTTGTTTTTGAGTTCTCTGTGACTCTGTGAGGTTCCTGCTTGTTGCAGGGGCCATTTTGTGTGAAGTCCAGCTGCTTTTGCATTGTGTGTGAGTCAGTTATGTAGTTTGTATGACTTTTTGTGTAAAGTGTGATAGTTTGTTTTTGAGCTCTTTTTTNATATTTTCCCATATAGTAGTTTCTAATTATCTGGTTTTTTCTTGGTAAGTCATTTGTCCCACTTCTCTGTTCCTGTCTTCTCCAAAGATGTCCTGACATCTTATTGCTATACAATATTTTACATTTTGATTCTGAAGTATAAACAATTAAATGCACCTGTATTTTTAGTATATTCAGCTCACCTTGTCATGAGGTATATTATTTTGCCATGTTATTGAAGCTTTATGTGCATTGGAGGAAGGTCAAAAATCTGGTTACCATGGTGACACTGGACTTAATCCCTTTTTAATAACAATACTGTGATAACAAAAGGAGAACACATTTACTTCTGTACTTGGGGAAATTGCCTTTAAGAAAAAATTGAGGAAAGAAAAAAGAATGCCATTTGCCCTCAGCCAATTCAAGACATCATAGCATGCATATATAATTCCTAACTATTGATCTACTGTGTTAATAGGATTTGTCAGCGGCAGGAATGGCCCTTTTGATTTCCAGGTTATCAAATGCTCATTTTTATCTTGTAGTTAGTGTGTATAGTTAGGTTCCAATAGCATAGAGCCATTCCCTTGTACACAATTCATATTGTGCATAACTAGCTAGAAATATTATTGGAAAAGCAAGCTGTGTTCATTAAATCCCTCATATTTATTTTCCTTTTTAAAGAAAAGCAATGGTAGTGGAGATTTTGAAGCAGATATGTAAATTTAGTCTTCTCAATATTTTCAGTTTCATCATTCTAGATCACACACTCAAATACAATTCCAAATTTTTGCCTTACTTGTTCCTCTTAGGGTAAACATGAATCAAATGGAAAAATTTGAAAAAATGCATTTGATCTAACATGGGTTTGTCAAAACAGATCATGCCAGACTAATCTTATTGCATTCTTTGACAAAGTGACAAAATTAGTGGTCCAGAGGAATGTTGTTGATATAGTTTACTTGGACTTCAGTAAGGTGTTTGATAAGGTAGACCATAACCTACTACTAGATAAAGTAGAAGAATGTGGGTTAGACAGCATCACNTTCCATCCGCCAGCCAATGTCGGCTAGCGACCCCCCGGGGGAGAGCCTTCTCTGTTGCAGCTCCAGCCCTCTGGAATGATCTCCCTGTCGAGATCTGGACCCTTACGACCCTCCCGGCCTTCTGCAAAGCCACCAAGTCCTGGCTGCCCTAACCCTTCCCTTGTCTATTGTGAGCCGCCCGGAGTCCTTCGGGAGTGGGCGGCATACAAGACAAATAAAAACAAAAACAAAACAAAAACAAAAAGAAGGGAATATGAAGATAACCCTCAAAACAATCTCAAGATTACCTTGAAGGGCACCCCTCAACTCATCCAACTACACTTGAGTTCTCAATTGGACTTTGCTTCACTTAAAGTGGGATTGATGACAGGTTCTTTTTTTCCCCCCAAAGAAAACAATCCTTGGAATCGGGAAGTTGAAGAAATCTAGACTGGGCAGCTTCGACGGCTGAATAGCGGGGCAGAAATATCTCTGAAATCTCACTCATATTCCTTGGGTCTCCCGGGATATTCTGAATCTTGGCGAAGGAGCAACAAAATCTCCCTGCTCCAAAATGAAGGTCTGCGATATCACATTTCCTCGAACAAATGGGTCTGCTTCCGGGGTGGGTTTCAACCGATTCGCGGCAGTCCCTGCGAACCGGTTGGTCGCCGAACCCAGAAGTAACTTCCGGGAACGGCAAAGGGCGCGCCCACCCGCCCGCGGTCCTTACCCGGTTTTGACGAGTTCTGCGCTTCCACGCATGCGCAAGACGCATACAGCGCCTGCGCGATCATCCAGGAGCAGCTGGAGCGTCACGCAGACCCTAGTACGCATGCGTGTACCGCACGCGTGCACGAGGACGCCGCCGGCCCCGTTCCAACCGAACCGGTTGGAACGGGGCGAGAAACCCACCCCTGGTCTGCTTCAATATCTTTTATCGTCTGCTTTTTAATTTAACGAATAATCCATAAATACTTTTATTTAATGAATTCAGGAACAAAGAATCTCCATGAAGGTACTGTTTTTTGTCGTAGGACTCTCTTGGACATCTTTCTAACAATGTGAACAGCATTTCTCAACCTTGACCAACATCAAAACTGGTAGACTTTGGCTCCCAGAATTCCTCAGCTAGAGTATGGAATTCTGGGAGTTGAAGGCCATACATTTTAATGTTGTCAAGGTTGAGAAACACAGTTGTAAATACTTTATCCAGTAAAAGAAAGTTCCTTACCAATGAGAGAGAATTCAGCCCGATTACTCTTTTGAGACATGGATCTGCGGCCTTCCCTGTTTCTCCCCATATAGGAACACAAAAATGTTGCTTTCGGAGCCATTTCCACTGCAGGGATCAGCAGAGAATCTGCAATCTGTTGTTGATATTTCGTCTCTTCCCCGTTTTCATGAATACGATAGAAGAAGTAATTCTCTCCCATCTGTCCTTTTGGGGGCAAACATTTTAACTCGATCTGTTCTGCTTTGATGGGAGTTTGGGAAGAAGATGACCAGGACAGAATGGGAGCGTCTGGGATGCCAGCCTGAGAAGTGTTTTGGAAATCTGAGAAATGGAGGATATTAAAAAAAAAAAAGAAATCACACGAAAATCCTTGCAAGCTGTTAAACAGAATTGTGTTGGGAGAACTCAAGAGAAACCCCCAGGGTGGAAGTATACAGAAACAACCAAATTATCCCTCCCCAATAAAGGACTTTACAGGGGTTGTCCTTGACTTATGTCCGGTCACTTAGTAAACTTTTGAAGTTACAACAGACCTCCAAAAAGTGACAGATTTGAAGTTCTGACAGCAGGCTCCATTGTGGCTGGAAGTTGAGGGTTACTTGTGCATCTGACATTTTCATACACACACACACACACACACACACACACACACACACACACACACACGGACACACAATACNCCCCTTCCCTTGTCTATTGTGAGCCGCCCGGAGTCCTTCGGGAGTGGGCGGCATACAAGACAAATAAATACAAATACAAATACAAAGGAGATAGAACCAACCTTCAGAACTGCAGGTAGATAAGCTGTCTGTCAGAGAGTCTACCAGAGGTTCTGCAGGACCAATCAATTCAGATCCATCATGCACCTCTCCATCCTTAAGAGACAGAAAATAATATATATGTTTCAATATGGATTAATGTAACTTTCACCAAGGGAGAAAAGTTACAAGAAAAATAACAATATGATCTAATACACTGTTCCTCAACTGGGCCAGCACAAGCGGGAGTTGAAATCCGTATTCCAAATTGATAAATATTAGTTTTATATTCTTTCCAGATTCAGTCTAAGTATACATTGAAAGAAAGAATAGTCAATAAATATCAAAAGTATTCCTAAATCAAATTAACCAATTTGCAATATCTTCCAGCTGACACATATTCCCATCCTAGAAAAATGATATTGAAGACTGCCATCTGTTTTTGAAAAGGCATTATTTTAAAATAGCAATATTAGCTTTTAGGATAAAATAGATTTTTTAAAACCCGAGAGGCATTCTGGCTATACACAAAGTTCCTCAAAGAGGCTTAGAACTTCCTCATTAAACAATCTGCATAGATACATCAAAGAGTTCATAACTCACCAGATTCCCCATCCCATCTGCTAGAAAAGAAAGAAAGCTGTCTTATCTTACATTAACTTTCACCCCTGCTTTAGTTTGATACCTCTCAAACGAGAATGGTTCCCCTCAAAAAATATCTTGGCTGGTTTTCATATCAGCTGAACAGCCTTATTCCTATTGTACCAATTTAATTGTTACACCATAATTATAAATCATATTTAACCCCACTGTAAACCTGCCACAAACCATAATGTTTACCAGTCACACAAAGGTTGTGGTTCATAGAAAATGTATTTTGGCTTCCCAACACAGTTGGAGTGTATATGATACAGCTGAGCTTAAGCACATCTGGATCTGCTTAGTGCCTATGTAAAGCCTGGGTTCTCCATGCTTGTCTCCCTAAATCCTCATGGAAGAAATACTGGACAAGCTTCCCTGACCACAGTTTGGTATGATATGTGAAGTTAGCTAAAGCCAAATGGATCAGATCTGGGCTGCAAAAATATGGTTATAAATAGTAGCAAGGAGGTACAGAATATTTATGTTTTGCTGCCATCTTAGTGATGCCTGGATATTTGCAGCCTATCTGGCAATACTATATGCCTATTATGTAGAGTGTCTGCAGGAAAGAGCAAGGAGGAACAAATGACATGTGCTTAATGCCACGGAATATCTGATGCAAAAGTCATTTTTGCATTATCGTGACATAATCACTTTATTGCATGCACATTGCCACACTGACATCATGTCTCTTTGTTGAAAATACCACTTAATAGAATATCAGCAATGTGTAGTTACTAATCTAACTGCTAACTATTAGACACTCTCTTTCCTTCCACTGTGCATCAATAATATATTTAAAAATTGTAAAAAATAGTAGAAAAGTAGAAGTTGTTTATCTATCTAATCCAGTTTCTCAACCTTGGCGACTTTAAGTCCTGTGGACTTCAACCCCAGAATCCCCCAGCCTGGGAGTTGAAGTCCACAGGACTTAAAGTAGCCAAGGTTGAGCAACACTGATCTAATATAATCTATCTGGTACTTTATTCATTTATTTTGCAATATTTGTATACTGTCCCAATCCAAAATTCTCTGGGTGTTCTTCATTCTAATAAAGTGCCTTTCTGTTTTATATCATATAGAGAATGATTTGTAACAGTAACTATCAGTTTAGCCTACTTACATCACCCAGAATTCTATTTATAAATAGGCAAAAATTTCCTAAGTAAGAGGTTGAATATGGGAGTATGAGAGAATGGAGATTTTTACACACGTTTGTTTCTTTGTTTGTTTGCGTATGAGAGAATGAAGATTTTATACGTTTGTTTGTTTATTTGTTGGCATACCATACAGCAGGGGTGTCAAACTAAAGTCCACAGGATACTTAGATCTGGCCCGCGGGGCCCCCCTGGAAACAGCAAAAGATCAGTCCACAGTGCTTTTGCCAGAGAAAATGGGCTCCTGAGCTCAATTTTCAACTACCACAGCCTCCTGCGACCTTCTGCCAGTGAAAATGGAGCTCGGGACAGCACTCAGATCAACACAGTTACCCCCACAGGAGTGACGTTCAACTGGCCATGCCCATCCTGGCCATGCCCAACCGGGCCCCCAAGGTCAAACACAACCCTGGTGTGGCCCTCAATGAAATCGAGTTTGGCACCCCTGCTATAGAGAATCTGTTTCAATCTTAGGACAATCCTGAGAACCTATCAATTGCAACAATTATTAGTATCTCAAGGAGCCAAAAACCAGTGCTTGGACCAAGAGACTGAGAGGAAACTGGGAGCCAATAGGGAAGGATGGTGACTTTAAGAAAATTTCCTCAGTCTCTGGACCAATCAGGCTGTGACTTAACCCTGTTGTAGCCCCTCCTGCCGAGCTGCAGGAAAACAAGTACTTCACTTACACAATGAAATGAAATAATCTATTAGACAGGCTAGCTGAAAAAGATTAACCTTAAAGAAATCTTCAAGCTGCTTGCTATTGTAGAGCATGGGGATGTTGGCAGAAAACTGAAGCAAATCTTCTGCACACTGTCTTCTCTCTTCAATCACACCTTCTTCAAATCGCCCTGAAACATGAACAAATTCAACAGTCTGAGAAACAAGTCTAATTTTTTTTGACAAAAATCCTTTATGAAGAAACATCTACAGCTGCTTCAGGAGACAAGGCCAAATATCTAGGCTCAAATGTCCCAGAATGTTTTACCATCTATTGAAGATACATATAATTTGGCAGCCCTAATGGAATAAAAAACTCCATCTTTTATATGAACACATGGATTGGCCAATAAAATATTATATACCCTCAGTATCAAAAAAATAAAAGAGAGTTAGCCACATTATAGATATCTATTCTATACCGTGCCCACTTCAGCCCTAATCCCTTATGGTTGCAGACTTCAGCTATTTGGCTTATGCTAAAAATAAAGATTTGGATTCTGAATTTCTCTTCACTGAACACCAGAACAGTCTTGTTACTGGAAGAAAAAGGAGGCAAGTTTTCTTTCTTCTTCCCAAAGTCTTTTCTATTTAAATTCAGTGGGAAGAGATAGTGAAGGAGGATTACAACTTTAATGAGAAAAACACTATTCCAGAAAAAGACTGTATTAACAATGGGAGGGACTTTCTGTTCCTCAAAAGGACTCTTGGGATCCAGGAGTCACAATAAGATAAAACATGATACAGACTGGCTCCAGATTGGCAAAGGAGTGCAACAAGGCTGCATGCTTTCACCTTATTTATTCAACCTATCTGCAGATTAAGGGAAAATAATTATTTTATTACATCAATATGTAGAATGAAAGGAAGCTGGATTAGAAGATGATGATGGTTTTAAAATGGGAGGAAATAACATCAATAATCTCCATTATGCTGATGGCACTACCTTAATATCGGATATCCTGAGTACTAAAAGAGTACAGTGTGGTACTGTGAAGCTATGATACATATTTCTCTGTCCCTTACATACTTGCATGCCATATCACAATGCAAGAGCAAAAGCATAAAGTTTGCCTTGCAATGTACATTTCATTATTTTGATGTCATCCCAGTTAGAAATAGATGATAGTGAAGTGATTCCAAGATAGGATTTCCAGATGTATTAAGCATATCTTTTATCAATCTTAAGTAACAAGGCTAAAGGTGAAGACGACCATCCACTATATCTAGAGGTGAAGAGCCTGGAGAAAATTCACTACAGCAACTGTGTATTAAAAGAATTATGTACTGGCACAGAATATATGGTCATTTCATTTTCTCCAGTTAGAAAAGAAGCCAAGATGTGAGCCTTGTAAGAAGGTTTTTACCATAAGGAGAGAGACATGGACTGTACTGCATTACAAATGACTTAGGGCAGGGGTCCCTAATCCCTGGGTCGCAACCCACTACTGGGCTGCAGCCTGTTTGAAACCAGGCCGCACAGGCGGTGTGCAAGCGTATGCATGCACCCGAAGCTGTCCTCACATGAGCAGTGGCTGCCTGTGTTCACGCGTACACCACCTGCCACTCAAGGAACTCTCCCCTCTCCCCACCCCCGCGGGGCCACCAAGCCAGAAAGATTGGGGATCACTGACTTAGGGGGCTTTAAGTGTTACTAAGTGCTTCAACTTGAATATCGGCTTACAATCGGTATGCAGTCTTTTTTTAGATACTTTTATTTCTAAGCACTTAAGGGGATTTATTATAAAGTGTTAAAAAGATGAACTAGCACTATTAATGTTTATCTAGTAATACTTTCATTAAACCTTTAGGCTTACTTTGAAGTAACAAGAACAAGGCTAGGCACTTAACAGACTCCATGGTCAAATCTCATGTTTTCTGGCAATGTTTCTATTATGAGAAAGAGAGGATGCCATTTCAGCTGGATACCAATAAATGCCAATTCATCCAGCTGCTGTATCCAATGAGTAAAGCAAAAGGGGAAAGCAGGCTGCCCTTCAGCAGTCTTCTGGCTGCCGATTTGTCTCCCTCTCAAAAAGGGAAGGTCAGCTAGCCTGGCAAATGCAATGTCCATTTAAAAAGAGGCAGGAAGTAAGAGTCCGATTACATTGTTGTAGCTATCCCCTGGTTGTTGTTTTTTACTCTATCTTTACAAATGCTGACTCTAAAACACCATTCAGAGGAAGTTGTCTCTTGTCCTTCTCATTTTGCTGGTTGTTAAAATATGTTTTCACAGGAAGGCTTTGAGACTAAAAGGAATAGAACAGTTACATAGCACCACTGCCCTCAAAATACATAACTATCAAATCTTAGTCAGGAAAAAATAGTATTTTTATTTTTCGCTTTTTAGAAGTACCGGTATATATATTTTTTTTTAAAAAGAAGAGATATGGATAATCTATTAGGATCAAGAATGAAGACAATCACCAACACATTATAAATTGAAGAAACTGTTGTTCTTTCAGGAAGATTAAGTATTTCAATGATTGAATCATGGAGCCAATCTGAGCATATCAGCATTGGATGACAATAAAATGACAGATCTAAATGTCCTCCTTTTATTACCCAATCTTTATCCATTAC